GATTTATTATTCAAATGGTTTTTTAATAGCCTTTTAAAACCAGCCTTACTGGGTGCTTCAGCAATGAAAATTGGTAAGTTATTCCATATTTTGATGGCTCTATACATACAGATCTGCATCAGTCCTGGGTTTTTTCAAAACTAGACAACCCTTTGTAGCCTGCCGAGTACTATAAGTATGTTGGTTTCTCAGAAATTCATAAGGTTGCATGCCAACCCCTCTTCCTCTCTAAAGCTGATGATACACGGGGCAACTTTTTGAGCAATGTTGCTGGACAATGTTGCTGGTGGGCTAGTGGTGGTGCGGGGAGGGTGGCGGAGTGATGGGGGAAGGGGATTATGGTAATTATCTTTACTCATTACCATTGACGGCAACATTGTATCATCAGCTTAAGCCACGAGAGACTGGCATGCACACTGTCCGTACTCAGCCTCACATCCGATGGACGGGCCAGTGTGGGTCTTGCAGTTTTATTTTGAGCTATTTGCAGCTTAACCTTTTTTGGCTGCACCGGACCAGACAGGTGAATGTCGTGGAAATTATATTTCTGGTGAGGGGTTGAGCAAATAATTCAGTAACAACCAACCGTTGTCTTTGAAGAATTTATTAACAAAAAGAGAATAAACAGTACAAAAAGTAAACATGTACTAAAACATTGACAGCCGGTCCAGAGACCTGCCACCTAGGGCGGCTTCGGGCATCTGACCCCGAGCAAAGGGATGCATAATCATTTACACAGTCTAGGTTTCTATGTTTTGGGGAACAGAGATCCTCTCTCAACCTTGAATGAACATTCCAGGAGAGGAGAAGAACAACAAGAGAGGAAAACACCAAAACAATCTCACAGCTCTGACCTAAACCCTAGTAAATGTGGACAGACTAACAGAAGGAGAATAGGAGAGGAAATGTTAAGGATAAAAACACAATACCTATATATCTGTCGTAACAAAATTAGTAATAACACTAGTAATAGTAATAATAGTAATAGAACATACATAAAAGATTTATTGTTAGAGGACAGTAATCAAGGTGGGATAAAACTAATGCTTGTGTCACCAGCACTATAGTGGCAGGGGTAAGAAAAGGGGAATATCTTCTAATACTTGATATTCCATTACCCATTTTCTTAACAATGTTGTCAATATGTTTCTCCCATCTTGTCAACTGTCCTTCTAGTGTAACGCCAAGCAAATTTACCTTTGAACCTGTTCAATGTTTGAGGCTTTAAGTGACAGGCAGAGCTGATTATCGCCATTAGTCGCATGTCTAGACCTGAACAAGATACTTTTTGCTACATTTAAGTCTATTTTCACAAATCCAGTTCACTACTAGTTGTGATTCCGATTGAAGTGTATTTCTTAATTTGTTTATACTAGTTGATGCAAAATGAATAGTTGGATCATCATTGAGTTTTGTAATATTTAGTCACATTCATTGTTTTTGTTGTCAAATGTGATACAAATGTAACGGACACACTACACTGTGGTATGTGTGGGTGGTTTGCTTGTCTTTTTTTCTTTTTTTTATATTACACTGTATCACCACAGCAAGGTGTCCCGGTGGTGCAGTGCCTAGCCTGTCCCAGACCTTTCTGTGTGGGCATGTTCTCCCCCGTGTCTGTGTGGGTTCTCTCTGGGTGCTCCGGCTGGGTGACTCTAAATTGCCCCTAGAGGTGTGAATGTGTGTGTGTCTGTATGTGATAAACTGGCTACTTTTCCAGGGTGTATCCCGCCTCCCACCCGGTATCAGCTGGAATAGGCACCCCCGCAACCCTGCACAGGTAAGCTGTTATAGACGATGGATGGATGTAGCACCACAGCACTTGTTTTGTCTGGTGGAATTGTTCATAAAATATAGCAACAGTTAAATTCTCCATTCTACTTACTTTTGATGAGGACACTAACTGGTGCAGCCATGGGAGAAGTGTATTTCCGTGTAGACCATGTGACTTCATACACACAGCTGTAGTTGCCCTGGTGTTCGTACTCAGCAGCAGGGAAGTTAAAGGAGGCTGAGTGGTTGACTGCTGGCTTGGGGTCAGTGATGTTGAAGCCAGAGAAGATGAGGAAGAAAACACCAGTGGGATAGTGGGAGGAAGTGGAGCAGGTGAAGACAAAGCTGTCCCCCTGGTGACCTCTGAACCTCTGTTAGGAGACGTCAGGGAGATGCTGGGCGGCTGCAGTCTCACTGGGTAAAAAAACACACCACAGAAATGTTTGACCACACAACAAAAATCTTTAAATATATTTATTGTCCAAATTTAACTTTTCATTTCCCACCATGATGGTGTAAATGCTCTTTTAAAGAATCTACAGTACCAGAAATGTATTTGCTGTAGCATATTAAATTTCTGAATTTGATTGATTGGTGTAATGTTCAAAACAAACTGCACAGAGTGTGTGGGCATCTCCATGTGTAACAGGGTTAAAAATGCACTTTAATAATAATAATAATAATAATAATAATAATAATAATTCTTATTAGGGGTCCAAGCCCGAGTGGGCAGGGAACCCGTGAATGCAAGGCATCGTGGTTCCCAGTACCAGTGGAGCTGGGAACCCTATTGGAATCGTTTTATTATTCCGCAGCTAAAACTCATACTGCAGCCTAGACAGTAAGTGCTAAAGACACTAAACTCATAGCGTAGGTCCAAACCACTGCAAGTACCTCAGGCGCAAAAATCCGCACACTTCTACCACTAGGGGGCGCTATATACGCATTTGCCCTTGGAACTTGGTGCCATTTGTATTACAGCAGGCGACCTGTGCCATGTAGTCAACGTAGCGCCACACAGATCTTAGCATCCATTTCCTAGTGTAAGTTCAGTTATTATGGAGCTTAATGGACCAGTCTGGTGTGTGTAGAGATGGTGTGCTTATTTTGTAGCACACAGGTGTCATTTGCATGTGATTTAGTTTAAGATAAACACAGTCGCTGTCACGACTTCAGCCAGTTCATTCTGCCATTTACTAACTCTCCCTGACATTACAGATCATGCCTTGTCTTGTATAATGTGATTGTAGAATGGAAAGAGTTGATTAAATATCCTGGTAACAATACAGAGGACATGACCTCAGTACGTATGAGCTTTTCCAGTTAAATTTAAGAAAAAAAGTAAGGCTAACTATATCCATCAAGAAGCTCTAGTAAATCATATCAGTACTGGATTCCCTGTTGGTCTTTGAGGCTGTGTTTGGTCCTTTTCATGCCGTGTTCACTGCTGAGCGAATTGCCGGCACTGCACCCCGCCATCATTCCATGCCAGAATTCCCCTGGCCTGAAAACCTCCAGTGCTTGAGTAAAGGTGTAAACACCTTCATACAGTCTGTGGTAAACACAAACACTCCCCTGGTGCTCCGAGCTCCCAGTATGGGCAGAGCTAATCTGACCAGTGGCTGCACAGCTAACTGAGCTAAGCACACTCATTTCTCTAAACTCTACTCACAAATCCCTTCATTTCTCATTGCCTGCACCATGTGGTCATTGAGAAAACACTGACATTCAATATTGTTCACTCAATCAGCACAGGCTGAGCTCGATTAGCACACAGGTGAACCACAAACAGTCAAAAGTGATAACACACCAATCAGAAGATTCAATAGAAAGATAAAAGGCCCAATGCCAGTTCATTTATTTTAGGAACAATGGATCCAGAGAAATCATAAGGAAGACAGAGAGGACACCAGAGAGGAGGAGGAGACACAGTATGGAGAGGAGTAAAGCCTAGGTCACACTACACGATTTATAGCCCGATTTGTTACGTGTGAACTACTCAACGACGCATCAAAACGACTCCCCGACACATTTCTGACACATCGCCGACGTCTGCCAGAAATCCAGCATGCCAAATATCTGGCGGAGTCGGCCGACTCAACATCCATATCCAGCCAATGAGAGCAGGCAGCTAATTTTTCACTGCAAAACACTTTTTACTCCGGCAGGTATAGGAGTAGGGAGGGAGGAGTAGGTGGAGAACAAGAGTCTCTGGCCTGTCATAGACCAAAGACAGGACGCTGGGGCTGAATAAGTAGTTGTTGGGTGTGTTGAACTGTTCAGCACACTAAGGAATAAAACATGAGCAAATGTTTACATTTGTTATTTCTTTTGTGTTCATCATGTGAAAAGGTTTCTGAGGGGGAGAACCATTATTACTAATAACCAGTTTTTGTAGTATTGCTTTGAATCTCTCTCACCAGTGTGTCAGACCGTGTCGCAGTGTGTGTGTTTCTGAGGGCTTGTGTGTCATGTCTGAGGTTTAGAGTTTCTAGAAAAAGAAGCATAATATCAAGAAATGTGTTTAAGAAATCAAGAAACTAACTTCAGCAACAAGTTAAAGCTCTCTGTCCATCAGGAAACTCTGTGAATCACAGAGTTGAGGCAGAGCAGCCGGGGGACACCAGAGAGAAAATTAGAATATATTTTCTAAATTTTTCTAATATTTCTCCATCAAATATGATCGAGTTTCACCAAAATCAGTGAAAAAGTTATTTTTGTACAGCATTCAATGGCGCCCGGTCCGTGAAACACGATGCTTCAGCAGCTTTATATTGAGAAATCTTTTCACTGGACGCTAAATTAATACAACAAGTGCAGAGTGAGTCATCAACATTTTAAAATGGTTGTCCAAATGACAAATTCTTAAATATCATCAAGAATACCTCTAAAACAACGTTTTTGTCATTGATGGGCCAGACATAGTGCAAAGCATATCATAGAAAAACATTTAAACGTGGATTTTGGGAACGGAAGATTTTGTTATTCTATGTCACACTAAGCAGACAACGCATCTTCACTTGTCTTCATTTGCATATGAAGTAATCCAAAAGTAACTAAAAGTAATCAGATTAAATTACTTTTATTTTGTGGTACTTGGATTATGTTATAAGTAAATAATTAGTAATTGTACCGGATTACATTTTTAAAGTAATCCTCCCAACCCTGTTACTGTACACTTTTCTGGGTTAATTGCTGTATTTAATTTATGTATTTATTTGTCTTACCAGTAACAGAGAGTCTGACAGAGTCACTTAAAGGGGAGCTGAAGTCTCGTCTTGAAACACTTGTCTGATACTGACACTGGTACGATCCTTCGTTATCAAAGTTCACTTTAGGTATAATGAAGGTAGCAGAGTTGGTACTTGATGTTTGGGTCGTTCTGAATGAGCCTGAGGTCTGCTGCAGGAGGAATGTTCCGTCTAAATGAACCTGTATTGAGATGGAACAAGTGATGCTGACGTCCTGACCCCAGGTAACCTCACCAGCAGGATTCATGGAGATGCTGGGCTTTGAGAGGCTCTCTGAAAAAATAACACAACAATAAAAATATTAAATGTATTTGTTTAGATATTTGACCCTGCCTGTCTTTTTTCAATAAGCATGTAGTAGTAAGGCAGTATAATGGGCAACTTGAATGAATGATCCACTCTAAAAATAGCCAACTCATAACTTCTTGGTTTATCTAATAGGTTTAAAGATTTGAGAATTTATAATATTATTCTGTTGTAATTATGATAAATATGTATATGATTCTCCTTTCCATTTTGGCTTTGTTCCCTTTTACAGATTCTGACTGAAGGAGTAGCACTTCAGAGCATAAACATATATAGAGGTAGACGCCCTATGGAACCAGTCATACTCCCAGTTGCGCAGCTGAAGAAAGCAAGATGCCAGAGCACTGTGCAGCATATTCATGCTCAAATCGGCAGACCATCGCAAACAGGGCTCAGGGGATTACGATAAGTAAGATTTAACATTACCGTACTATTGGTTGTATTTTGTGAATAGAATATTACCAGAGAGTTGAGAAGGAGCAAGGATCTTTGATATTACTGTACTGAAATCGTAGCCAGCTAGCTAGGCTATGTTTACTGCACCGGCCGGTGTTCACCCGGCCACCCGTGCTCATTCTTCTTACTCTCATCTGTTTCTGCTTCTCTATCATATTTATAGTGTGGGATCATAGGGTGACCAGATGTCCCTGGCTTCAGGGAGTGTCCCCGTTTTTGGCTGCCTGTCCCTGGCTAAATACAGAAAAAAACTCTGAATAGAAGTAATAGTATTAGTTTAAAATAGAAAAAAAATGATAGTCAAACTGGAAATGTCCCCGTTTTTTCCCCCTTTTCAGGGATTATGTTCCCAGTTTTGATCTCGGATGTCTGGTCATAAAAGTGAAAGCATGAATAGAAAGAGTTAAGAGACACGACACACCGCACAGAAACACTGTTGCAGGCAGGTGCAAACTGATGCACATAGACACCTGGGTTGGGCGCAGGTCAGACACTGCCTGGCTTTGGTGACCAAGCATCTCTGTTACAGATGGAAATTAAATTACAGTTTTTCTCAATAGCTTAAACACTATAACCAGTCTATTAAACTAAAATTTCAAAACCACAACTCCATTTTCCAAAAAGCCCACCCATTTCTCTAAACTCTACACACAAATACCTCCATTTCTCATTGCCTGCACCATGTGGTCATTGAGAAAACACAGATATTCAATATTGTTCACCAAATCAGCACAGGCTGAGCTCGATTAGCACACAGCTACCCAGGTGGAAACACAAAGAGTCAAAATTGATCACACACCAATCAGCAGAGTCAGTTCATCCAGTTTGGAACAATGGATCCAGAGAAATCAGAAGAGAAAGGTCTAGGACATGAGAGAGGAGGAAGAGGAAGAAGAAGAGAGAAGGAAGAGCAGTATGGAGAGGAGGAAGAGGTGAAGCAAGAGGAACAGTAACTGTTGGAGGAGGAGATGGGATAGGAGGACGAGGTGGACAACAAGAGTCTCTGGCCTGTCTCAGACCAAAGACAGGACGCTGGGGCAGAATAATTAGTTGTTAGGTGTGTTGAACTGTACAGCACACTAAGGAATAAAAAATGTGTGCAAATGTTTACATTTGTTGTTTCTTTTCTGTTCATCCTGTGAAAAGGTTTCTGAAGGGGAGAACCACAAGCAACATTACTAACAACCAGTTTTTGTAGTATTGTTTTGAATTTCTCTCACCAGTGTGTCAGACTGTGTTCCACTGTGTTTCTGAAGCCAAAGTTTGTTTTTTCAGCAAAATTGAATGGTTTTGAGTGGCGAGCTTAATTTTGACCTGAAAATAGGACGTTTGGGGGATTGGATGAGAAGTTGTGGATTTGTGTTTAGAGTTTCGAGAAAAAGGGGCATAATTTCAAGAAATGTGTTTAAGCCATCGAGAAAAACTATAATGTTACAGAGAGAGAGAGCGTGGAAAGAGGGAACTGGCATACAGACACAAAGAGAGAAGTTATACGGTGAATCACAACACTGCGCCCCTTTCTTTTAATCCCACACCCCAATTTAGTCATGACAGAAATCTTTATTGTAAGACAAATTTGGCAAAGGTTATAATTCATTATACTTTGCATCACCCATACAGACTGTGAGAAATATAAAATACTTTTCACAGTAGATCAAACACTCGATGAACTTCATCACCTACATTACAGTTTCATTTATTCAAAATACTTTATCTGAAATGTTTTCTCACCTGAACAGATGACACCAGCATCCTTACCATGGTTACAGTCGTGTGACCCAAATCCTCTGTGCCGACACTCAGTTAGAGACCTTTCACTTCCTGAACAGGCCACATCATCGAGCCAGATTTGACCGGTTCCTTGACCAAAATGGGTCGACTGAGCAGTCCTCAGTGCTCCACCACAGCCCAGCTGTCTGCACACCACCTCAGCATCATTTAAGTCCCAGCTGTCATCACAGACTGTTCCCCAGGTGTTGTTGTGATAGATTTCAACTCTCCCAGAGCACTGAGTAGACCCGGACCCAGCTAGTCTGATCTGAACACCTTCATTGCATGTAAGACATAACAGAGAGTATTTTAAAGACCAGGGCTAGACAAGTCCTTTCCAAAATGTAATACATTATAGATTACTAGTTACTGTCAATTGAGAAGACTTAATTAGAGTACAATATTACTTTCTATGAAATGTAATGCTTTACATTACTTTTGAGTAACTTTCACTGCTTTTTAATTGGTGCATTATGCTCATAGTAAGATGTGCCTGCATATGTGGATCAGGATCAGTCAGGATGAACTGACAGCAGCCTCTCTGATCATGAAAGTTATTTGTTAAAGCACAAACACACAGCCTACAGAAATTTATTTGATTGATCCATCAGGGAAGCTACTGTTTGCATCCTGCCGACCATCGGATTCCAGCAACAGGAAATAACGTTACTCTTTTACTTATGGATTTGTTTTTCTGCTGCCCAAATGTTTCTTGGTGTTGGTGAATTACTATAAAAACAAAACACCACTTAATTTCGGGTGCGTTGTAACACGCGCTACTGAGATTGTGACGGTTATAATATTACCGTTTTTTTTAAGTAATGCGTTATATTACCGCTTTACAGCAAAAAGCAATACATTACTGTAATTGTATTACTTTTGTAACGTGTTACTCCCAGATCTGATAAAAAATAAAGTAAACAGCAAACTAACATTACTGTACGCATGACACAGGAGAATGAACTGACCTGCAGCAGGTGAAGAAGCGGTCAGGAGGAAAAAGACTGTGGAACAGAAGAAATGACATGGCTCATTACATTCAGTAAACTGAAAAGTGCAGAAATGAAAGTTTTCCTTGTTTCTGTTTTAGATTCCCGTGTTTCTTTTAATTATAGGAAGTTTTTTAAATGGAAAAATTGGCCTTAAGAGACTTCTGTTCTATACAATACAACAACCCTGCTGTACAAAAAAGCTGCTTTTCAAATAAAATTTTGAAGTCTGTCTTACCAAGGGCCAAATAGCGTAGGTTTCTCTGCTGTATGCTCCCCATAGCTGACATGACAGCTGCTCTGTGTCAGTTATCAGTACCACCACAGATTAACTAAATACTGCGGTGCACAGAAACATTTCACACAGCTTGTCCTTCCTGAAACACTTCCTGTTTCTGGTGTTTTTTTCAACCAAAAGCTGCAGCACTGAAGTACCACATCTATCACTAGTTATGGATATTGAAATTGTTGTTGATAAACACAAAGTTCCAAAAAACTGCTTTACCTCCTCCATATATGTTTCAATTTTGTGTGTAAACTAATGCACTGCACTAAGCTATTATCTCTCTAAATTTAATCTATTTTTATGCCTTATGTAATCTAATTGTTTTCAGAATAATAAAGTAGTCACTGGTATTTTTCCAACTGTATCTGATTTTATGAGGCACACGAGTCTGCAAGAAGTGAAAGTGAGCGAAAGCAAAACTATAACTGGGTTTTTCAAAAAGCACACTTCATTTCTCATTGCCTGCACCATGTGGTCATTGAGAAAACACTGACATTCAATATTGTTCACTCAATCAGCACAGGTTGAGCTCAATGAGCACACAGCTACCCAGGTGGAAACACAAGGAGTCAAAATTGATCACACACCAATCAGAAGCTTTATAAAAGGGCCAGAGTCAGTTCATTCAGTTTTGGAACAATGGATCCAGAGAAATCTAAAGAGAAAGGTCTAGGACATGAGAGAGGAGGAAGAGGGAGAAGAAGAGGAGGAGGAAGCAGGAGGAGCAGATAGATAGATAAAAGTTCAGTTCTTTCAGTTTTGGAACAATGGATCCAAACAAATCTGAAAGAAGACATAGAGGACACCAGAGAGGAGGAGGTGAAGGAAGAGGAACAGTAGGAGTTGGAGGAGGAGATGGGATAGGAGTAAGATGAGGAGGAGTTGGAGCAGGAGGAGGAAAACAGAAGTTTACATTTGTTATTTCATTTTTTGTGTTCATTATGTGAAAAGTTTTTTTTGAGGGGGAGAACCACAAGCAACATTACTTATAACCAGTGTTTGTATTACAAGCAATCGAGAAAAACTTTAATGCTTGTGAGACAAAGACGAAGCCGCAGCACGTCCCAGAAGCCGCTCTCCCTCCGCAGAGCAGATCGAACCGGAGAGAAAGGCATTGTCCTAGAGCAGAGGTCACTAATAGGCGGACCGCGGTCTGGATCCGGACCGCCGACTTACACCCGATTTATTGTTGAGACTTACTACCTCGTGACGAAGCGTTTCTATTTTAACCCGTGCAGCTTTTCTGGCATTTACTGTACTGGTTTAGCGGATCAGGAAACTCACAGACCAATCGCATGTGCTCTAATCGTCTCATGTGACGCTGCTCAGCCAATCAAATCTGTGCATTCCGATGCTTGCGAGTCAAGTCCGCGAGATTCACCAGAGCCTTTTTGGAAACTCACACGAATTGAGGAGACGAAAGAGATTTCACATGGCTATTAATCAAGAATGTAGAGATTTTTACATGGACGTTCCTCCCGCTACACTTTGTATTACATTTTTTCAAAAAATTAGGCACTTTGTTTTAGTTTAATTAAATTTACAATTTAATATTAGAGTAGTTATTATTTATTATCCCTCCAGTTTGATGTGAAAACTGATTGAAATATTATTTGATTTGACAGTCCGTTGTTGACTAAAAACATATGCTGATACAACATTATGGTACTGAACGATAACAGAAGTTAGTCGTTTTTAATATTCCGGACCTTTGCTTCGGGAAATTTTCTCTAACTGGACCTCTTTGAATTCTTATTGAATACCCCTGGCCTAGAGAATCCGGTAAATTTTCGATCATAAAACAACAATAAATACTGTTAAATCAGACAAAGAAAGAAACCATATAGCCTACCTATTTTCTTAATTGCTTCAACACGTTTCTTGAAATTATGCCTCTTTTCCTCAAAACTCTAAACACAAATCCACAACTTCTCACCCAATTCCCCAAACATCCTATTTTCAGGGCAAAATGAAGCTCTCCACTCAAAACCTTTCAATTTTGCTGAAAAACCAAACTTTGGCCTCAGAAACACACACAGTGCGACACAGTCTGACACACTGGTGGAATAAATTCAAAACAATACTACAAAAACTTATCATTTATTATTAGTAATGTTGTTTGTGGTTTTCTCCCTCAAAATCCTTTTCACATGATGAACACAACAAAAGAAATAACAAATGTAAACATTTGCACCTTTTTTATTTCTTAGTGTACTGTACAGTTCTACCCAACGAAGGTTAAAATCAAGGGCAACTGGACTTGGTTGAAGATACTGGAAGACGTTTCGTCCCTCATCCAAAGGACTTCTTCAGTTCTGACTGACTGGCAGGGAAACTCAGCTATTAAACCTCAGTGGGGTCGTTGGCCCGGGTCATCGATACCGCTGGTTCGTTAATGTTCCTTGTTGCTGTGACGACAGTCGTTACAGTCGTTAAGACTACCTGTGGCCAAAACTGAACGACCATCGTACAGTTCTACACACCAAACAACTCACTATTCTCTCCCTGCGTCCTGTCTTTGGTCTGAGACAGACCAGAGATTTTCCTCCTCCACCTCCTCTTCCTCCCTGCTCCTCCACTTTCTATTCCTACTCCCTTTCTACCTCCTCCTCCTATCTCTACTCCTCCTTCACCTCAATCTCCTCTCTCTTCTTCCTCCTTCTCCTCCTCTCTGGTGTCCTCTACCGCTTCTCCACTTCTTCCCCTCCCTTCTCAGAGCTGGCCCCCTCCCTCCTCTCTCCATCACAGAGAGGGAAATCAACGGTCTTTTCAGGAGGCAGAAACCCCGCAAAGCAGCTGGGACGGACTCTATCTCCCCATCCTCCCTGAAGCACTGTGCTGATCGGCTGTCTCTGGTGTTCACAGACATTTTAACACCTTACTGGAGACACGCCATGTGCCAGCCTGCTTCAAAGCCTCCACTATCATCCCTGTCCCCAAGAAACCAAGGACCAGAGACAGAGTTACTGGGTTATTGCACAGGAATTGTTCCTGACACTGTGAGTCAGAAATCAGCTGTTCATCAGAGTGGTGGTTTGTGGGAAGAAACTGCTTCTGTGTCTGTTGGTTTTGGCGTACAGTGCTCTGTAGCGCCTACCAGAGGGGAGGAGCTGGAACAGGTTGTGTCCGGGGTGAGATGGATCTGCAGTGATGTTTCCTGCCCGTTTCCTGACACTGGAAATGTAGTCCTGAATGGAGGGCAGGTTGGCACCGATTATTGTTTCTGCAGTCCTGTCTGTTGTAGTCTGTCCCTGTCCTTTTTGGTGGCAGATCCACCAGAAACCAGACAGTGATGGAGGTGCAGAGGACAGACTGGATGATGGCTGTGTATAACTGGATCAGCAGCTCCTTTGGCAAGTTGAGCTTCCTGAGCGGGTGCAGGAAGTACATCCTCTGCTGGGCCTTCTTGATGATGGTGTCAGTGTTGGGCTCCCACTTCAGGTCCTGGGCTATAGTGGAACCCAGAAACCTGAAGGATTCCACAGCAGACACAGGGCTGTTGAGTATGGTGATGGGTGGCAGAGTGGGGGGACTCCACCTGAAGTCCACGGTCATCTCCACAGTTTTGAGCGTGTTAAGCGCCAGGTTGTTCTGACCGCACCAGAGAGCCAGCTGATCAACTTCCCGTTTGTAGGCCGACTCATCACTGACCCGGATGAGACCGATGACCGTTGTGTCGTCAGCGAACTTCAGGAGTTTGACAGATGGGTCTCCTGAGGAGAAGTCTTTGGTGTAGAGGGAGAAGAGCAGGGGGGAGAGCACACACCCCTGGGGGGCGCCAGTGCTGATAGTCCGGGTGCTGGATGTGATGTTCCCCAGCCTCAACTGCTGACTCCTGTCTCCTGAAGTCCACAAACAAGATCCTTGCATATGTCCCTGGAGAGTCGAGGTGTTGCAGGATGCGATGCAGACCCAAGTTGACAGCATCATCCACTGACCTGTTAGCCCTGTAGGCAAAAATGTAGGGGGTCCAGCAAGGGGGCTGTAATGTCCTTCAGGTG